GGGAATGTCGTGGAGGGCTGAAACAGGTTTACAGGGAGAAACTTTACCCATTAGAGGAGCACTACAAGTTCCATGACTTCCATTCGCCGGCTTTGGACGATCCGGACTTCGATGCGAAGCCAATGGTGCTGTTGGTCGGTCAGTACTCGACGGGTAAGACCACCTTCATCAGATACCTGTTAGAACGGGAGTTCCCGGGCATACGGATCGGCCCTGAGCCCACGACAGACCGCTTCATCGCGGTGATGCACAGTGAATCGGAGGGAGTGATCCCGGGCAACGCGCTCGTCATGGACCCCAAGAAACAGTTCCGCCCGCTGTCCAAGTTCGGCAACGCCTTCCTGAACAGGTTCCAGTGTTCCCAGCTGCCCAGCCCGGTGCTGGAGAGCCTGACGTTCGTGGACACGCCCGGGATCCTGTCAGGGGAGAAGCAGAGGACGGCCAGAGGGTAGGCATGACCGTGGGGCGTGTGTGTGTAAATGTCAGGTGTATGGCCTAGTGTGTAGTGTGTAGACGTGGCCATGCCGCCACTAGACGGGTAGAGTTTCAGACGTAAACACACACAGCTTCCTTGCATACTGTCCTTGATGAAAATACCTCTAACCACGCTATAAGCCCCCAGAACTAATACAAAAATATGAGATGCACGCCTCAATGATTGTTATGTCAACAACACAACGTCCTGACAAGTAAAGTCTCTTGAAGATACAGTTGAAATCATAAATGGCCTTGGTAACGTTAAATGAATCAGATTATCAAGCTACGCCTGTATGTTCGTTATGGAAACTTTTAAAAATAAAAACAATGTTATTGCCCTCCAACCACACTGTTACATCGCAAGGCTAAGAACTGGGCAACATTTCACTTGTCAATTGGCAGCTTTAAAAAATCTGAAATATTGACCTTTCCAGGTATGACTTTGCTGGTGTACTAGAGTGGTTTGCGGAGCGCGTGGACCGAATCATCCTTCTGTTCGACGCCCATAAGCTCGACATCTCAGACGAGTTCCGTCGGGGTATCGAGGCATTGCGGGGAAATGACGACAAGATTCGCATTGTGCTGAACAAATCTGACATGATCGACCACCAACAGCTGATGAGGGTGTATGGAGCTCTCATGTGGTCGCTAGGCAAGGTGAGGAACAGGAGGAGTGTACAAGAGTGTAAATTGTAAATAAAAATAGTAGAGGCTTCTTCCTTAGATACTAGTAACTGAAACAACACTTGGTGGTAGATAATCAGTCTACAAAGCTGGTGTGTTACTTCTGTCAAACGGCTGTTGTACAAATGTAAGTGTAACGTTATACAAATGTATACCAATGTTATCTATCTGTATCTACATTGAAGGTAGATACTTATAGACAGCAGGTGCAGTTTTATTGATTGGTTAATCTATTTCCTGGAGAAAGTGAATGAAACATGACTTCCTGATTTTATGCTTCATGTGGGTGAAAACATGACAAACACTGACTAGGTGCCAACGTGGCTCTGTCATAACTGTGACTTTGAGGAAGTGTGAAGCAGAAAGTTGAATCTTGAACCAGGAAGTAAGACAGACAGGATATTAATTATGGAAACAGCTTTGAAATTCATAAATAAGCAATTTCTATTTGTCTTACAGGGAAAGCCAACATTTTTTCACAAAGTAAACTACTTTAGCTCCTGCCATTGTGATATAGTATGATATATAATATAGATCTTCCGTAGTAAGTTAAAAATCCAAATTGACCCACATATCTGTCCCATAGGACACGTATCTAAGATTGAAGCTATGCCTGAAAATGTGTACCAGATGAGGTTTGGAATGAACAGGTTCAGTTCTGTGTAATCCAATCCACTATGATACTGGACATTCTCATAGGAACCTAATGGGTTAAATATTGTACAGTGCAAGTGAACATGACTTTTCAGGATGTTTACAAAGGCACCCTTAATTGTTTACCTATTACCCAAACTAGGGTTGTACCCATGTGACAGAGCCACGCCCTTGTCTGTGACAGCCCTATAACCTAATATGGAGATTAAATAAATGAATTGCCCATGGGGTCAAAGGTTGGTGACCTGATATGTCAGTGGACAGGACTGATCCTTACACAGTAGCTGTAAGCTATAAATTAGAAAACACCAGAACTTTGGATGCTTGCTAGGCAAGTATAAAAGTAGTAGTAGTAATATGTATAAAGTACTTGATTATAAAAAAAAATAGATGCATCAGCATAGATGGAGGCATACTCTTCCAAAGCAACAATATGAAACCTTACTAAGTTACTGTACTGAACTAATATGTGAATTCTGCAGAGAAGACAATCTGCCACAGAAAGACTGTTGGCTACAGAAAATACATGTAATTGGCCAAACTTGTTTCAGTATTGTACAGGTACATGTACAGGTACACAGCTCTGTCACTAATAAATCAATTCTTGTCTAGAAAGTGATTTATTACTGAACAAACATGATTTGCATGGCTGTCTAACTTGTTGTATTTTCCACATGTAGGTTATCAACACTCCTGAGGTAGCTCGTGTGTACATCGGCTCATTCTGGGACCAGCCTCTCCAGTACGACATCAACAGACGACTGTTTGAGGCGGAGGAACACGACCTGTTCGCAGACCTGCAGAGTCTGCCCAGAAACGCAGCGCTCCGAAAACTCAACGACCTCATCAAGAGAGCAAGGCTGGCTAAGGTGAGGCTGATTATAATGCAGTTTTGTTAGCATACATGATCCAGTAACTTAGTGATCATATGTCTGGAACAGAAAATTAAGAGAACTGATGTCATTTGCTGGACTTGCCTGTTGCCTCAAAAAGTTGCAGTCCATAAGGCATCTAAGTTAAGCCACGGTCAAATGTTTATTGTGCTTATTGAAAAGAACTTGGGGAATGTCCCTTAAACATCAAACCATATTTATCTGAGTATATTTCATCTCTCTTTCATGTTATAACAAGTGGTAGAATAGTTTTCTGTATCTTGTAAGCTAAGACTGGATTGAGATACAGCCGGGAGTAAATCCTTAGGACTGATAGATCTGACCTGTGCTTAGTATGCTGAAACTTTCTAGCTTGGTATCCAAAGCTATTAAGCTGCCCGACAGCCTGGGTCTCTTTTCAACCTATTCGCGGAGACTTAGCAGTCATAATAGATTTGGATACCAGGCTAGAAGCCTTCACTCTCTGTAAGTTCCTGTTTCCACTCAATGGTCTCAGAAATTAGATCTTTGGCCAGTAGCCACAGGTTGTGTCTGTGTTAGATCTTCCCTACTGTGATTGATATAGGTCAAATCCCAGGACACATGGGCTGTAGCAGAGGCCCTTCCTCCCACTCAAACAAAGCCACACTAGCCAGGAAAACTAAACAGAGGAAAATCCACTCTCCTTGTCCTTGGACCTGCAAAATTAAACTTGAAACTTGGGAGGTTGTTTTCAGACTTACATACAGTCTTCCTCTGAACTTGTATAAACCAGCCCTAAAGGATGATGCAACTTTTCCTTCATCAGCCCACCAGGCCAGGCAGGTGCTGCTGAGAAATGGGTCAGACTAGGTTACAGATCAGCATGCCCACTCAGTTTTATCCCGTTCAAAGTTTTTTTTACCCCTTTTCCCCATCCAACACCCTCACCTTTAAAGATGCCCTCTTCTTCCTTTTCTCCAAGAAGCACATGTACTGTCCCTTATGTAGGTGGTATAATTCCTCAGAAGGATGTGTGACAGACGGTAGCCCTAATGACTTACAGGAGATCAGTTGGCTCCCATCCATTACTGAACACTGGGTTCCTTTACGCGGTCTCCTTGGTGGAGGTTCCACTGCCAAGGTCAAGTTTCCTCTAGGTAGAAAACCAAGACTTGCATGAATGTTGTTTTTGGAGGGAACTCAAGACCAGTAAATCTTCTAGATGATTACTTCCTCTGCCAAGATCAATTTTTACCCAGATTCATGTATTGTTCAAATGGGTATCTTACTTTTCTATCCCTTCCACAGTAAATTCAAATGACATGTCTAATTTTTCTAATGCTTCATAATTATATGGGTATTAAATTGTTTTTCATAGGGTTTATCATTATTCATGATCATTATTCATTGGGTAGATGATTTTATCTCCAGTATGAATGGCAGCTGTTTCAAAGAAGTCAATACTGTGAAAAAAATACATGTTCTGGAGGTTGAATCTCTCTAGTATTATATTCTTAGAAGTATAAGTAACTTTATCTGTACTACTGGGTATGAGACCCTGGTGTTTATATTACAGACATGTCACATGATGCTGATGTTAGGCTCATTTGCATGTTCCTCTCTGGCTGAAAACCCATTTTCCTCTGTGATTTGCTGATAAGGAGTGTGGATATTGATCAGTCATGCCTGATAGATTCCTATTACAGCCAAAAGTTGGGGCTTGGCCAAAACTTTCCCCAAGTAAGGGTTACACTAAGCAACTGTGGGATCCGTAAGCATGTGTTTACATTCATGCTTGTTCAAGAAAAGCTAAGCTTGAATGCAAAACATCACATTTGACATACTTGGAGATGGAAGTCAAGGCTGGAAATATTTTTCTACAATACAGATTCTTTTTTTTTATGCAAAATTTTGGATGTAGTAGAAAAAAACTTTTAATGTGTAACAAGCTGAGATGCATGATCATAGGAATCATTATGAATCATAGGAACAGATTGAATTTTAAATATTATCTATTAATAAAAGTATTATCAATTCCAGAAATGAACAAAACTTCCAGAAGTTACTTGCACCAAGTCAGTTTCCTCACCAAGTCATACTACTAACCACTTTGCTATCCTCTGAATTTCTCACCCCTGTATTATTTGTCCCAGCAAACTGCTACACAGAGCCCTGACAGTCCAGAAACTAACAGTTGTCACCTTCGAGCCCCTGTCACCAAACTGGGTCTTAACTGACCTCATACACTGCTTCTCACATAACTTGGACAAGTAACAGCTTACATACGTGCAGCCATTGTTTCAAGTTCCCATAACAAGTACATCTACTTATTGTTAACGTTCCCCATTTGTAAAAGAACACAGTTTATTACCTATTTGGTTGAGGCTGAAACTAGAATGCTGCTCAGTAACATTCTTGATGTTTCAGGATTTTCCAGTATGCAAGGTAAACAACTACTAGTAATGGGAGGGAATACATGACACTCTGAGATGGTGATTAATGCAGAAAGCTGAAAATCAACAGTTGACCAAGTTATACCAACCTCTCCAATCTTCCATGCTGTTCATCATTGATAAGAAGATTTTTTAAACATTTATTGAAGATGTTTAGTTTAGTTTTATTCCCTTGGAACTTGTGTGGTTCTAGTAGAATTCACAAAAAAATCACATTGCTCCTTTACTTTAAAGCATATAAAGGTCAAGGAGGTACAAATTTCTAGACAACAACCTATATCTAGAACATTTTTCAGTTGGAGATTTTGCCATTCAGATATGGAAAGCCACTAGTAGAAAGCTTTTCAAGTTTTTTTTTGGCAAACATTTAGTCCTATGAAGTCCAGCGTGAAAGATTTAGTATCAACTTCTTCTGCTGCTGTGTTGCCTGCCTTTTCGCCCATGTTTTATGACAAACACATCTGCAACATAGATACTTACAGTATCCCTTACCACACAAACAGTACTAAAACAGTCACCACATATAACAAATCAACTAAAACACAACTTCCAAAACACTAAAAGGTTAAAAGTTTTCCTACCTTTCAAAGTTGCAACCAGACCTCGTATCAGCAGGCTTCCTCTGTGCATGCGTTAGACAGCGCTACAGGAAAGACTTCCCTCATTGCGTACCAGTATTGTTGGCGGAACCTGTGAGCCCCGTACATGGTAACCGTTGTTGTCTGAAGGACGTTGCTTGTGTATGTGTGTGTGTGTGTCCTTACATACAGTCACATGTGGGGAGGCTCCACGGCTCTAATATTTGCTCAGAGAGGGAGAAATGCAAATTGGTATGTTGGAAGAACATTCATTCTGACACTGGTGACCCCTTAGAGTGACTGATGATCTCTTGTATCTCATGAGTACTGTGGTTCGTACTGTACAGGCTTATATATAGTGTTGGATTCAACATTGCAATGAGAAGTAATGTCACAAAAAAAAGCAGAAAGAACACAGATTCTTGGAAGCAGGATGTTTTCTAGAAGAAGTATATTTGGAAAGGTCGACATCATTTCTTTGCTGTAGGCTAAGGTCTTGGTAGGAGAAAGCATTTGCTAGAATACCCGGTGGCAGTGCTTTCTAAGAATAGCTGTTATTTCACACAACTTATCTAAATACATGTGTTTCAGAGTGCCAGACTGGGCTTTAAAAAATTCAATTGGCAAGCATTTTTTCAATCCTGGTTGACAAAACAGCATGATTCTTGGCAGGATGAAAAAAAACAGGAAGGTCTTCTAAGAATCATGCAGCTTTCTTATAAGACCATGTTCCTGTTTTCTTTTCATCCTACCAAGACCAGGATGCTTCCTGCCAAGACCAGCACACTCCTTATGGGTGGGGTTGATGACATTGAGGTAAACACAGGGTCCTCTGTGATCAAGTTCAAGTGTAAATATTCACAGCTTTCAGCCGACCAAGCTGCATGTGTGAAAGTTGGGCAGTAAACTGATTAATCACTGGAACACAAGTAGCTTCTGAATCACAAATGTGGTAAACTGACAAGTGATGTAGAACAGCAGTTGAAGCTGTTGGGTAACGTTACATGAACGTGATACAGTGTGAGGTCCTTAGATGTAGGACTGATGGTTTATAAAATTTTATCAATTTTATCAGGACTGCAATCCTTCAGTCTGCACAAAGGGGTGTGTTGTCTGTTGTAGCTAGGCAGAGATTTGAACCCCCAAGCTTACAATTATCTATTAGTGGGATTGCATATATTTAGACCACTACACAATATATTTTATCCAGTTTGCTACATCAATCGATGAATACAATGAATTATTGATGTAGTCACAATGTGTGATATGATAAACTTGTATTCCATATACATGTACTACTACATAGCATGTTGGCAGAACGTACTGCACCTGCACAAAACCCATAATGTATTGTACATAGCACGTCGGCAGAATGTCTGATATAAGGTTGTATTCACTCATACAAGGTCAGCATTTCGACAGTAGTTTCCAAATGGTGTCGGCAAAGATATCTTTTGCAACAGTCAAAATTCTGATATGCAACGTTGACCAAAAATATAACGCAAAACGCAAAAATGCAGGGTTCTGCGCAGGCGCATTACGTTCTGCCGGCGTGCTATTCTACATATTGTCCATTTGAAACCATTTGACCAAGTGACCAAGGATAACCAACCTAGTCATCAGAAGCCTTTGAAAAGCCATGTTAAAACCAAACATGTTGGTCTGACAGTTAAGTGAATCTTATTCATCTGGAATGGTAGTTGCATATTTCATGTCACTGTGTGGCAGCACAGTTATGTTAATACTGAGGTTTATCAAGTGTGTAGTATACACAAACAGGTACATGGGATAGCAGCTCAAGCCTTTCCAGCTGATAAAGAAAGTATATTCAGAACAGCAGTACTCTCATCTGCCGAATAAACGTACCGGTACGTTTATTTTTTTGGGCCCGAACGTCCACCCCGTACGTTCTTATTTTGCACGGTACATTTATTAATTTTTGGAAAATCAGAATTTTTTTTCGAATAAGCGTGAAAAAAATCGACAAATCTTCGACGTGAGGATGTGGCAGATGTTTGTTTTGGCCCACTATGGCCTTATCTTGTCTATCAGGCAGGATATGCTTGTGTTGTTGTCTATGCTTACACCATCAGTCACCTTTTGTAGATGTAGAGTGTTATATAATCACCTTTTGATTTGAGCATTTAATGTAGAAACAAAGGTTCAAATGAATATTTACGGTACATGACTACATGTACTTTTGTATCCTAACTGTCTCTGTGTTGTGCAGGTCCATGCCTACATCATCAGCCACCTTCGCGCCCAGATGCCGTCGGTGTTCGGCAAGGACTCCAAGAAGAAGGAGCTGATTGACAACCTCCACAAGGTGTACGACCAGATCCAGCGGGAGCAGCAGATCTCCATCGGAGACTTCCCGCAGATCGAGCGCATGCAGGAGCAGCTCAGGCAGATGGACTTCTCCAAGTTCCACACCCTGAAACCCAAACTCATCGAGAAGGTGGACCACATGCTCAGTGTGGTGAGTGGGATGTGGTTTATACTTAATGATAAGCCCCGATGTGGAAAATCATTTTGTAGGACAGTTCTGTTGGTTACACCTCCAGCACTTCATGGTAAATGTGCACATTCA